TAGTTTTTCAGAGGCGATACCGATATTTTTCAATCGCTTTTAACGTGATTTTATCCTTGTCTGATCGCTATAAAATTTTCACCAATGATTGACTATTGATTGGAATTTGTCAAAATGTAGGTTTAATAAAAGCCGAATTTTGTGTGATCTAGACCACAGCTACTGAAAATCCAACACTAGGAACTTAAAGTTTGATCTTTAGTAAATAACCTCCGTAAGAACTAAAACATGCTGCTGTTTGAATTCGACTAAAACGAAAATATATTTCAAGCCTAAAATTTTCAATAGCCGTGATAGATTATTTAATAAAAAAAAGTTGTAAATGACTCAAATCATCCTTCAGTAGCGTCAGAATGCTGCTTAATATCATATTTCGATGCCAGAAAATTTGGTGTATTTTCGTCCTTGCGATCTTAAAAATAACCCGTTTTCTCACCACCTGCATGTCTAAGTACAACTTCATTCAAAATTTGGACTTTTAGCGCTTTTTTGTGTATCTCTGAAAGGACTTCAACGAATTTTTTTAAAAATCTCTTCACATAATCTTTATAAGGGTTCGTAGGATAGTTCGTAGGATAGGTTTGTCTTGAAATTTTAAGATGTTACAGTGAATCAATGTCAATGAAAGTTTCAGACCTTATTATACACTTTATGAAGATTATGTGAAGAGATTTTAAAAAAATTCGTTCGAGTCATTTCAGAGATATACAAAAAAGCGCTAAAAGTCCAAATTTTGAATGAAGTTGCACTTATACAGGTGGTGAGAAAACGGGTTAGTTTTCAAGATCGCAAGAACGAAAATACACCAAAATTTCCTTGCATCAAAATATGATAAAAGAATAATTTGAGTCATTTATAACGTTTTTATTAAATACTGTAATCTGTGACGGCTATTGAAAATTTAAGGTTTGAAATCGGACTTTACTTACGTCAACAATATTAAACGGCAAGGTGACTTAGGGGTACTTCTTCTCCGTTATATTGATACCTAGGCGCATTTCCGCATAAAAGAATCTTTCTTAGTGTACTCTTCAAAACAAGAATTTCAATCAAACTAGGCTGAATATGAGAATATAATTTTGTCATTTTATAATTAACTGGTAGAATAGGTACAAGCTTTTTGGAAAATGTAGCCGACAAAGATAGCTTTTGGTCAACGGGAATCAAAAGACAACAGCTGATTAAACCAGTCATTGCTTTTATAGTCCGCCCCGCAAACAATCCCAAAAATCTTTGCAATGAAAGCTTGTTCTTTTTATATAGTCTATGTGGAGAGGGAAATACTAGTTAAGTAACTAGTTAGGGACGGTGAAAATGATAACTTCGTAGTAGAATAAAGCAGATTCATGCAGTGTTGGTACAAAAAACACCGGCTCACAAATAACGGTGAGAGCCAAACGCAGTAAAAGGTCCCAGTAGAAGTATAAAACGTTTCTTTTTGGAAAGCCTGGCCAACACGGATCCTGAAGTCGTCTATTTTTCAATAAATTTCGATCAATAAAAGTTAATTTTTTAAAGCCCTGACCGTTGAGATGACAGGGAAATTAAATTTTAGGTGGATAAACAAAAATTAGTCGAAAATACCACTTGCCTGAGAAATAACTTTGAACAAAATCAGTCTGGTTCTGTTGCGATTGCCGTCAATTTAGATCGGATGTAAAAGGCCGGATGAAGAAAGGCTTAATTTTCATATAACCATGAGTTGCTATCATGGAAGCGTCACTTTCAAGCCATCCAACTGATTATTGCAAAGATAAGAATATCGCAACCTTCGTCATTAGGTATCGACTTTGTCATATTAACGATGATCCTAATAAATTACTTACGCCAAGATAATAATCTATTGGATAATATGCAGTGTGAATTTAATTAGTTTCGACTTTTTCAAAACGTCTTTCTCCTGTAACCGTTTTTAACGCCTGAAACAGCATCAGGCTGCAGTCAGGTATTGACTAGACAAGAGTACATATTAGAAAAAGCTGTTAAGATTTATCTACACGCCGGGTCAGCTGTCATCAAAAAGTGATCTCTTTCAAACTAGTTTTTCAATTTTTAACGGTTTCAGCTGAGACTTTGCACGATAATAGAACTTTGTTTTCCCAACAATCGTATGTTTTTGGATTTTTGATTTTAACGGTTTTTGGTGCGAAAATGACGTCATAAGATTGACAGCAAAATATAAGTTTCAACTTATGCCATAACAGGTTAGCAAGTTTGAAAGAGTACTCAGAGAAGAACTTGAATGTGAAAAACGTTTTTGAAAACCTCATTTCGTTAAGAAGATATGACATTCTAAAGATCACCAAATTTCTAAAAATAGTAACAAAATGGCGGAAAATACGAAATTCAAAGCTCAATAACTTTTCAACCAATTAAGCTTTACAAATACTTTTTTCACATGTGAGCTCATCTCTGTAAGTTCTTCTAAAAGTTCCAGTTTTTTACGCCATAAGTCGAAAACTATTTTTTGCTGTCAATCTTATGACGTCATTTTCGCGCCAAAAACCTTTAAAATAAAAAATCCAAAAACATACGATTGTTGGGAATGCAAAGTTCTATTATCGTGCAAAGTCTCAGCTCAAACGGTTAAAAATTAAAAAACTAGTTTGAAAGAGACCACTTTTTGATGACAGCTGACCCGGGGTGCTAACTTTGCACTGCTCTAGATGAGGTGTAGCAATCTCTTAGGACTAAAAAAAAATTGCGTTATCCTCCTTTGGAAAGTTATATTGTTCATGCCAGTCATTTTGTAGACTTATGGAAAGTTCGCCTTCCTCCTTGCAATTTAAAATACGCATAGCACTGAGAATCCAACAACGGAGACATCGAGATCAGGTGCTCTCTATCTTAATTACCACGTCAATATCAGCGTTTCGATAAAAAAAAAAGTAATAATAACTACGACAATAATGTTTCGTGCGGCAGCTGTTGTATTTTTTTTCTTTTTTTATTTTTGGAAGCTCAATCAAATGTTCTCTAGCATACCGTACGGAGAGCGGTAGCTGAGTATTAACCTGTACTTTTTCATGATTAAAGTTCAGAACCAGAAAGCTCTTGCAGCAGGATCGGGGTACAGTGATTTATGGAAATTCGGAAGACTGAATCCTCTATGATCCTTTTAGTTTCTTAATTCATTCTTATCCTTCCCTACATAATCAAAAGCCAAACTAAAACAAATTACATCAAACTGTTAAGTAGTTCAAGGACGTTTTGTTTACGTTTCTGCGTTATTTTCGCAACCGATTTTTATAAGTATTTTCGCCGACAAGATGTCTTACTTCAAAATATCATGTAGTTTTAAACTCAAATAATAGGTGTGGCTAAACACACCCGAGCTCCCTTAGTGCTTAGAGCTTTTTGTGCTGGGTTTCGATCTTAGATTTATTTACATCAATTGAAGAAAAGTTGAAGAAGGAAAGATTCATGATCGGTTTTCATATTTTCTTAATAATTTAATCTTCAGTACTTTCTTAAAGGAGGAAAGGAATTGAGAGTTGATGACCTCGTTGTCAAGTGAATTAAAATACTTAAAGAGGTCCTTGAAAACAAGGCGAGAACTTCTTAGTGTTTGTTCGACAATGGATGTGTATGGTTATGAGTTTACAAACTGCCTAGGCACTGGGAAGATTAACTTGGGCCTGATTTGTGACAAAAATCCCAGTAAATATAAATTAAAATCATAAAAGGGTATGTAACCTCAGTCTGCAATTCTAAAGCCATTGAAAATGAAACTCACTTTTTACTTGATAGCCCGAGTTGTTCTTCCGTAAGAGACATGTTCTTTACTAAAATGGAACCCTAGTATTCAATTTCCACTACTATTATCTTTATCTGCAATAACTTTGTAGGATTTTACGGATACCCTTTCTCTACAAAACGTTATGAAATTTGTCTATACATAGTCTGTTCCAGGCGTTCAGACGATGTAAGCAGGGGTGATAGCGAAGGTATTCTCATATATATCTCCCTTGGCTTCCTCTTTCCCTCTTTATTACTGTTTTTTCCCGCTCTCTAATTTCGCGCCCTACTCCACTATCTGACGCCTGGAACAGGCTAGTGTATATACAATAACACCAAATGTTAAGTAATGACAACATTTTCTGACGCCCATCATGCATACTTTTTTATTTTAAGCTTTTGGATTCCACATCTTTGAGGAATTGAAAGTTGAAATAAAATTCCCAATATCTCAAATATGCGCTTCCTGCCTTCGAATAGGAAAGGCCTTTAACACCTGTCATTACGGAATATACGGTATACTGTACGTTAGCGATCAGTGAATATAGGACAACTTTTTAACTAGAGAATAAGCAATTGTGGACATCACCTAGTCTGCTACACAGCCGTTTTTAGTGTCGTCACGCAACGCTCCTGTGGGGAGGAGCGTTGCGTGACGACACTAAAAACGGCTGTGTAGCAGACTAGACATCACCCAGTCTAATGTTAAAAATCTCTCCTCCGAAAATAGTGCTCGCAGACAGGAGCATCAGTAACTTAGTTACAACAAAACGTTCAAAGCCAAGAATGTGCACCACACACACAAATTAGGCTAGTTTCTTGCGTTTAGTGTTAGAGTTTTCATTCGTTTGAAACGAAGACAAATGTATTCTGGTGGTCAACGTTCTTCGGACAAGCGCCGCCCTCTCTACCCAACCTTAAATAATTATGCTCCCCGCGTGCCAAATTCGACCATTTACGGTAATCACATTATTGCATTAACATTTTTATATGTTTAACAAAAAACTACCTTGCCACCATATTTCTGGTTAGTCGATTGCTTGCCCTTGCTTTGCAATCACTACAAATATGCTACTCATATCTGACCTACACTAATAACCACGTGTTCTTAGTCAGACGTTTGACTCGCGGTTGAACTCTTAACGGCTGATGTCATCTTCTGCTAGGTTGGGATAAGCTTGACTGTTATTGGTTGCAGTGTTAGTGTGCTGACTTCAAGCAGGGGATGGTTCCACTCTATTTGCACTGCAAGTCGCCCCACAGCAAAACAGATTTTCAATTTTTTCACGAAATTTTTGATTCACGAACACGTAGATGAAAGGATTTACCGCGGAATTACACGTGACCAGGACAATGGAGGTGATATAAAGCACGGTGCCATATGTCTGTGAAGGACTGAGGTAGGCCAACGCATAGACGCTCAGGTTTGGCAGCCAACACAGAGCATAGATAATACTCACGGTCAGAACCATTTTCGTGACTCGCTTTCTTACTTTCAGAACGCCCTGAAGAATAAACAACCTATTTATAAACACAATTATCAAGAAAATATTAAATCCCCAATGTTGTTGTACAGTATAGGAATGTCACTGATAAGCTTATGAAATGACAAAGGTCGAAATCTACGAGCCTAAAAATTAGTCAACGCTGATAAACATAGCCTTATTAAGAAGTTTGTCTACTAATTATTATTCATTATTACAATGAATGTAACGTTACCTGGCGTGTGTTTTCTGAGTCGCTCCTTTGATGTTTGAACCACAACGAGTACACCACTCTGGAGTACATCACAGCCATCAATATAACTGGAATGATGCCAGCAACGAAAAACCAGGTGAGGCTGTATGCCTTGGGGAGCCAGTCCTTTGGCCAGTATTCCAGACAAAAACTAGCTTTTTCGTCAAAATACACCGTGAGGAATAGAGGAATATTAAGTATAGTTGCGCAGATCCACGAAATGGGTATAAAAATCTAAAGACAAAGTAAGTATGAGTGCAATCATTAAAAATACTTTTGTCTTTACTGTGAGAAGGTCTAAACAATTCCATTGTTGGAAAATTAGATTACATGAGGCGGGAGATACCAATAAGGCAAATCATAGCCTATAAGTAATGGTAACAGTACTGAGTGTAGTCCAATTCACTCTGTCATCATACGAGTGATTTTTACAAAATCGGACGACAGCGTAGCGGCGGGAGTCCGATTTGTTTAATCACGAGTATGATCACAGACCGAATTCAGGGGCACCCAACGAGAATATAGTTCAAAACCACAGAGACATAGCATTGTTAAACGTATTTTAGTACTTAAACGGTAGATATAGGCATATTTTTATATACTAAAAATTTTTCATCTGTTCGGATTTCCTAGCTGAAAGTCTAGTGATTCGAAAATTATAGGGATCATAACTAACCTTTTCGAAAATTTCAGCCAGAAAAAAGGCTCCCCGAAAATTCTAGGTGACCTTTTTAGGGTAAAAATCCGTTAAAAATGAGCACTTATGCCATTATTTAGATGTTCGAAAATCCTAGGAGAGGCAGATAAGTAAGAAATTTTACAACAAATGTTCTGAAAATTCTAGATCTAAAATCGTTTTCCGAACAGATATTTTCCGAAAATTGACATTGGGTGCCCCTACGAATTGAACGACACGAAGTTCTGTTACCAATTAATCATAACCATAACAAAATTTGTGATATATCAGGCTCTTTTTTTGAATCAAAACACAATACATTCCGACATTTTTTTGCTAGCAGTGAAAAAAAAAGCCATTTAAGCGCGCGCGTAATGGAGCGTACTGTCCAATTACTTAGGCATGACGCGTACTGTCCTATTTAAAAGACTGAAATCAGGGCAGTTGATAGCCAATCAGGTTTAAGAATTTTGTTATAGTTATGATTAGTAATGGTAACAGGACTGAGTGGAGTCCAATTCGGTCTGTAATCATACGAGTGATTAACAAAATCGGACGACCGCGTAGCGGGAGTCCGATTTGTTTAATCACGAGCATGATTACAGAACGAATTGGACGACACGAAGTTCTGTTACCAATTAATCATAACTTTAACAAAATTTGTGATAAAATAGGCTATTTTTTAAATCAAAACACAAGAAATTCCAAATTTTGTTTTGCTAGCAGTGAAAAAATAAAGCCATTTAAGCGCGCGCGCGATGGCGCGTACTGTCCAATTACTTAGGCATGACGCGTACTGTCCTATTAAACTGTCCAATTAAGGCTGAAATCAGGGCAGTTGATAGCCAATCAGATTTGACAATTTTGTTATAGTTATGATTAAGCTGGTCATCTTAGTCTACAAACCATTTTGCAAATAATATATCTTTTCCATGACATCTATATGGGAGCGTCTTTTTAAACTCCAGGGGAAGCGTGTCTTTACCATAATTAGAATTTCGGTGATATGACAAAAACCTACTAGAATTTTCAGTACAGATAAAAATTCTGACCCCGCGTTTTCCGGTATAATTACTCAACCAACCTTCAACTTTCCGTAAGTTACTTTTCCCTTGTTCCCATAGGGATAAATCACAGCATAGAAGCGTTCAAAAGCGATTGCCACTAATGTGAAGACAGAGGCCGCCCCACCAACCCACGTGAGATTATGAGACTTGCAAAGCAGACTGCCAGATAATCCAACAGGATGCGGGTAAAGATGTACAAGAACAAATCGCTGTCCAATGAACAGGGCAAACATCATGTCAGCCACAGCTAAGTTTAGTAGCAAGAAGTTTACCGGATTTCTGAAAAATAATATTTTCTTTTTTGAAATGAACATTTTCAAGATGCTTGATGCTATACATCCAATGTTACAGAGAAGAAATAGAGTTTTCCTTTCCATGCTATGAATAATTTTGTTCTTTCCTTGAATAGGGTGTCATTTTTCGGGTTTGGGCCTTAAAAAGGGTATCAGTTTTCGCTTTCTTAGTCCTTAAATAGGGTTAGGGTTCACGAACCTTCGCGGCACACTTAATTTAACATTTATAATTTTATTTTGTTCACTTTCAGTTCAGCGATGGAGCGGTCTGAAGATCAAAATCTCGCCTTAGTACGGGAAGTTCTCATAACAGAACCATATCGTTTTAAAACAAGATCTAGAACAACGGAAAGCGAAAACGTCTGGCAACAAATAGCTGACAACCTGAACTCCGATCATACCCTCAAGTTTCCCTCGAAGAAATTTGGTTTTTTTTTAGAGAGAAACTGGAGTCATAGCCGGCAGCACAAATTTTTCTTCCAATAAAAGATCGTTAAGGCATCAATCAAGCAAGACTTCACGAGTTTTTCTAAAAGACGTCCTGGAATTAAAACACGAAAGCATTACTTTATCCTCTCTCGTCAGGCGAGCCGCTTCACCCAACCTGCTCAATCTTAATTTGTTTTTCCCGCGAAGGTGGCGGCGTCCTGGCTCCAGGCTTTCTCCGTTCCCTTTACCGCCGCGTCCAGGGTATCTTAAGGTCCCTAATAAGCCCTCACGGTAAACTAAGACAACTATTATTGGAACGTAAAACGTGAAAGGTAGCCTGCATACCTCATTTCGTGATAGAGAACAATAACGAGACAAACAAGGTGAGCGTGTTACCAACAAGGTCTGTGATCACAAGAACACCAAACATGGTGGTTATTCCAATCTGGGCTGACTTAGAATCCGTGTACTGGTCCATAGTAGTTTCGAACTGATAATGGTAGATAAGTCAAAGTTAGCGTATACACACGCTCTTACAAAATAGTCAATAGCGGCAAATATTGCATTTATTCAGTGGTATCATATTGCACGCTACCCTTTATTTTAAATTGTAATGTCTTAGTAATAAATGCCTAGTCATCTGTAAGACCCTGAAGAAAAAAAGGCCGCGCCTTTCGAAATATTGTAAAATCAGCCTTGCAGCTTCTTTCCGTTTTTGATATATTTAGGGCCGGCCGGCTATATACATATACTTTATAGCTACCTGGATCCTCTATCGAGATCCGGTGCTTTTATTTTGTTACGTTGGTCCTTGCTTAAAAAAAATTGAATTTGTTCATGTTCGCTTCTTTTTCTCCTCCTTTTTTTAATTACAAAATTTGACTACAACATGGTTGATATGACTCTTCAAAGTAACGTTCGCTAAGTTCGTTCAAAGGAGAATCAGGTACACAGGGCGGCGTTCTTAACGATAATAGCTTTCTTCGTTTTTTCCTTCTTGTTGTATTGATTAGTTCAACAAATTCTGACACCGAACTGACAATACAGCCGGAAATAAAGAACATCTTGATCGAGTAAATAATAAAAGTAACCGGCTACAGCACTCACGGAAGTTTTGGCCTTACATGAACTATCCTTTCAAGTTTATAACAGTTGGCTTCGGCCTTTTCCCTAAAAACTAGTTAAGATCCAGATTTTCTTAAAACGTAAATTTCGAATATCTACAGCTGTCATAAGAATTCAACAACCTTGAGTTCGATATACTCGTGAAATATAATATACTAGCTGTAAGAACTGCTCGCTATGAGACTGTACGGAACGAAATGAATGCATGGTAGTTATTCATAAAATAAAAATATACATAAAAATATATATATATATATCCGAGTGTCTTAAAAACAACGTAAAAATGCTTGGAAAATTCAGAAAGAAACAAAAGATTCTTACTAGCTAAACGTGGAGGAAAAGGAAAGGAAGAGCTGAGGTTGATGCCTCCCAGATTTTTGAAAGCCTCCTGTGCTTCTCTTGTGCCTTTGCTGAAGGTAAAGAATTAAAAGTGAAATGCAGAGTTAAAATCATTACAAGCCACAGGCTCGATTTTCGGGGGATAGCGACGTTTAACGTCGCGATCTTCGCAAATTTGTGAAGGGCGAGGTGCCAAGTCTATTGTTTTGAACCAAGGGTTATATTACATTTAGAGACCCTTAGCCGTGTCTTAAAGTTGTCATCGATGTTCATTTTTATGAGCAATCTTTCATCTTTGACACCTAATCCTGTTTATCCTAAGTGGACATCTTTCATCTTTGACACTTAATCCTGTTTATCCTAAGTGGACACTCAAAGTTGTCATTCACGTGCACTGTCGAAAGCATAAATAATTGGCAAATAGACTTGAAACATTCTGCATTAAAGCTTCAATCTTTGTCTTATATTTTAGCCGACCTATTGAATAAAGAATAAATAAGGACAATCAAAACAGTTCAGGAAACTATCATTATATTTTTGAATGCACAGTACACTTGCAACACACATCACGCACACTATTATCCAGAGCGAGAGTCATGGAAATTACGATTACCAAAAAAAAAAAACTGCAATGACTAACCAAACATGATAGATTTTAGCTATTAATTTTTGCACTCTAAAAAACTCTCCCTTCTCCTCTTAAACTTGGGTGCATCGCCTGTAAGCAGAAAGGGAGAGGAAAAAAACCCCTACTGAATTATCCAAACTAACACATCGTATGAAAACAGCAATTGGCTAGCTAAGTGACATGATCGATCTAAGCTAAGAGTTTTTCACTTTAAAAAATATCTCTCTTCACCTCTTAAACTTGGGCGCATCGCCTGTAAGCAGAAAAAGGGAGAGGAAAAAGAACCCTACTGAATTATCCAAACTAACACATCGTATGAAAACAGCAATTGGCTAGCTAAGTGACATGATCGATCTAAGCTAAGAGTTTTTCACTTTAAAAAATATCTCTCTTCACCTCTTAAACTTGGGCGCGCCGCCTGTAAGCCAAGAGGGAGAGAAGAGAAAAATCTACTGAATTATCCCATCTAACGCATCGTAAGAAAACTGCAATTAGATAGCTAAAACATGATTGATTTAAGCTACGAGTTTTTCACTTTAAAAGCTCTCTCTCTTCACCTCTTAAACTTGGGCGCGCCGCCTGTAAGCCAAGAGGGAGAGAAGAGAAAAATCTACTGAATTATCCAATCTAACGCATCGTAAGAAAACTACAATTAGCTAGCTAAAACATGATTGATGTAAGCTACGAGTTTTTCACTTTAAAAGCTCTCTCTCTTCACCTCTTAAACTTGGGCGCGCCGCCTGTAAGCCAAGAGGGAGAGGAGAGAAATATCGACTGAATTCGTGATCCAAATTAACCCATGTAGGAAAACTGTATCGACTAGCTAAAACCTGATCGATATAAGCTATGAATTTTTCACTTTAAAAAAAGTCTCTCTTCACCTCTTAAACTTGGGCGCGCCGCCTGTAAGCCAAAAGGGAGAGGAGGGAAAAATCTACTGAATTATCCAAACTAACACAGCGTATGAAAACTGCAGTTGGCTGGCTAAAACAAGATCGATTTAAGCTATGAGGTTTTTTACTTGAAAAAAGTCTCTCTTCACAAAATGCCTTCCTTAAAAATGCACTTCCAGCTTCAAGCAGAAGAGGATTGAAAATAAATGCACACTCCGTAATTGGTTGCGTTCAGTAGCCAATAAGAATACCAGAATTTTCGATCCGCGGCGCAGGTACTAAATAAATGTACAAGGTGAAAGCTCAGCTTGACTAGACAGAACAGCTCACCGTTCTCGCCACGGCCTCGACACAGAGAAACTAGAAATGCTCGTGTAAAAGCAACTAAGCATAAAGCCAACCCGGCAGCTTATGAGGTCCGCTTGGAGAACCGAAACCATGGTCATGTTAAACTAATTTAACCAAGGGAGAAACTTAGCCTGTGAGCAGGCTCTCTGTTTGGGGGAAAAAATAGGCCTGTTCACGGGCTAGGAGAAACTACGCGCTCTAGCCAGAAAAGACTCATTTTATTTGTAGTATGAAACAGGCGGCAAAAATCACATTTACTCAGTCAATGTTACCCTCGACCCTCGACATGGTACCCTCGCCCTCGACATGGAACCCTCGACCCTCTACCCTCGACAAAAAGATAGACTCGTCAAAGCATAGAACCCAGAATATAATATACCCGCCAGGGAAAAAAGACATTGAAACATACAGCATTTTGGCACGAGGTAAAAGTTGTGTGCGGCCTACCGACCCCCTTTTTACGCTCTTTTATATGTTTCGAGCATTTTGGCAGGATCACAGCTCTTTTGGCTGGTTTTCTAACTGCACTTTGAATTATAATATTTGTGCGTTATTGTGTAATGATCAAGGATCTACACAATACCTGAAAGGCAAGTAAATATTGTTCTCTTTCAATCGTCAGTTTGCATTGATCTCCAACCACGATTTCTGTGTCATGAAACCGCCTTCAACGATGTGCTCGAACTCCACATGCGAGAGCCCCTAAACAAGCTGCTCCTCTACCTTTTAAATAGTCTCTTACCTTATCTCGCCGAACACAGCTTCTGTTCTTCGGACATAATTTAATACAGTCCAGAACTCTTTTTTACGTTGAACCATTGAAACCATTTCGGTTACAATATGTAACTTCCCAGGTAACGTACTGAATATTACTTTGGAGGGATGTTTAATTCGACCTTCCACGGCGCTAGATTTTGCCATTCGCTTAAAGAAATTACAGTGGAACCCCGTTAATACGACCACCTTCGGGCCATGGAAATTTGGTCGTATTAACGGGGTAGGGTCAAATTATGGTGCAAAATGCTTTTAAACTACATTCTACTACATGTATAGCTTTAATCCGCTATAAATCAACCTTTTTGCAGTTAATTAACAACCTTACAACCGCAATTCAATGCAAGTGAACAATGTAACAGTAAACGAAACCGAGTAATGAGAAAAACACTGACTTCTTTCAGTTCCTTGTTATGAAAGGAAGGGGCTTGTGAAATGTGGGGGAGGATAGGGAATGGAAATCCCATGAGTTTACAAGTTTACTC